TTTTTTGTGAACCAAATCATTAAAGGAGGCCGTAGAAGCCATCGATGAAACAGAAAATTGCCAGGATTTGTAAAATTCGTAATAAACTTCGTCGATCGAGTGGAAAAAGGTTCGGGGATCGGTCCTGCAGAAAATTTCTATTTTTCGCTGAAGGAAACTTTCTATGGGAATTGAATAAACGAAACACTGATATATCGAAATTGAAATAATTTTTGACAGCAAAGAAATGAGGAGTTAGGGAATAGGTGAAAGCCGTTTTCCAATTTGAAATTTGAAAAACCCCTGTCTTGGATTTATAGACAATTTGGTCAAAGTATTATTTCTCGAACTGGTTGAAACCTGTTAAAACTTTCTCCTTCTCCATTCTCTATCTACGTGCTCCCTTCAGAATGATTCATCGGTGCTTCCAGTACATTCTCCAACTACGATAGGCAGATACTTTTCCCATGAATATTCCTGAAAAAGCTATTGTATAATGAAACACGTGTTTCGGGTTTGTCACAATAAAGTGTTTCTCGAATACTTTATGAATTTTTAGTACCTGTCGGACAATTCCATCATATTTCCCATTAATGTTTCATGGATCATCGTAGCCATTTTTTTATGGATAAAACCAGTTCAGCCACAGAGCGTCGCGTATTTCTGATATGTACCGTTCTTGATTGAATCAAATATGCCAAGTTACTTGAACACTTCCCGTGAAAGTATCTATAGAAGAAAATCTCTGGCCTTTTTTCGATGTTCCAAACAGACAGAACCAGTTTCTCAGTTCGTCGATCATTCTGATTGTTGTAAATGAAGATCTCACGTGGGATCTGTCATGAGTTGATTCAAATTGAAAAGGAAATATTTTCGAGACAGATTAGTTTAAATGGAAACACATTTTTGGCTTTTTCTATCATTGAACATTAACTGTGGAAACTTTGGAAAAGAAAAAAATTGATTTCAACTTCATTTTGTAATGGAATTGGCCGAAACTTGTTGAGAATTACTTTAAACGCATTCAAATAATCTTTACAAAACCGCGTGTGTCACTATACTTACCTACGTAGCTTCTTAAGACTTGTTAGTACTAATCTGATCAAATACGTCTTTTGATTTTTCATAATCTCACTCAACGCTCACTCACACCTTAGGCTACGTACACATGAGAGGGTTATACAGCGCGTTACATTGCGCGTCAGATAACCCACAACGAGGCGTTGGCGCCGCGTTCATCGCGTACAGCTATGGCAGTTGATGAGGCAGCATGTGTTTGGATTTTATACTGTAAGTATAAAGCACGAAGACGAAGGAAGTTCTGGGCATATCCGTTTCAATGTGACAGGTGTATCCCATATAGTACGACGATTTTACACTTCTTTAGTATCAAACGATGCCATATTCTCTTCTATGAACGTAGATGTAAACTGCACTAAAGCTGACGCTCGACTAAACCATGTGATCAGTCTAAAGCGTGGGGGATGACGTAGCATAACGCGATCTTTTGTAACCCATGAAAACCATAGAAAACCATGAAAACCATAGAGCAAGTTGACGCCGGGACACGAGGTGATGCGACTAGCGTGACACGTGAGTGGTTGAGATACAGAGATACAGGCACGTGCGTCTCGTGCAGGTCAGTTCACACGCGCTCAATTTGCGCCTAGCTTAAGCTAGACCATGAAAACTCGAGAATCGCTGCAGATGCACGTTCCATGAAGAAACTTCAAGACGCGCGGCGTATGTGTATATATAGTTTATACGAAGTCAATCCGAACAGCTAAATAAAAAACTATTGTACCGGGTCTGACAAATTTACTAGTTAATACCTTATAAAACCTCCCACATAAAAATAATGATTATGAAAATCCCAATAATGCCAAGGTTTTTTTTCATTTCATTAACTCGACTTATGGTATTGTTATTAATTTCGTAAGTGAATTGTATTAGACTTTCCTTTCTGGAAAAACACAATACATGACATTTAGCAATGTTAAGATTCAAACGATTATTAGAACACCAATCATATATCAGATCTAATTCATACTCTAAGTCTAAGCAGTCTCCACAATTTTTTATCACCTTGAATATTTTAAGGTCATCAGCGTAGAGCAGTTTTGAATTGTTTATTATTTTAGTTGAATCATTAATGAAAATCAAGAACAAAAGAGGTCCTAAATTCGAGCCATGGGGCACTCCGGAACTGGGAGTATATAAAGCAGATTTGAAGCCTTCATACTCTACATACTGTTTTCTATCGAGTAGATAGTTTGACATGAGTTTCACCAATTTTGCTGAAAAACCAAATTCTGAGAGACGCTTGAGAAGAATGAAGAAATCTATTTGATCATAAGCTTTTTGCATGTCTGTATAAATGACGTCAACCTGCAGTTTCCTATCCAAGGCTTCAGAGACACATTGTGAAAGACATGCAAGATTGGTTATGCACGACTTGTTTTCTACAAACCCATGCTGATCATTTCATATGATATTTCGTATGGGATTGTAAATATTATAGTATAATATTATTTCAAATAATTTGGAGAAATTGTTCAATATTGCAACCTTCTGCTGACGGTGAAGATGTTCATCCGCAGGCGATGTCCTGGAATCCAAATAGAATGACGAGACAAGTGTGCTGTCGTCAGCAGATCAATATATTGGATTTTTTTTTTCAATAAGTCGTTGATATACATCAAAAAGAGGGTTGGAGACAATATGGATCATTGGATCAACACCAGCGTTGATGGTGAAAGTTTACGGCAAGTGGCCGTCGATGGATATCTCTCGAAGGGAGAAGAAAATGCCCTACGTTCTTTCAGGAAGCTGAAAAGCCATACACAAAAATGATCCGACAAGCCGTGACATCAAAGTTTGACCAGAAAACCCTCTTGCTACACACGGTCAAAGGCCATAGAAATATCAAGCGCAACAGCTCTTGACTGTTTCTCGATTGCGTTATTCCAAATATGGGAGACATACGATAGAAGATCATCTGTTGATCTTTGTTTCCGAAAGCCATATTGATGATCGCTCAAGATGTAGAAGCCTTCCAAATATCTGAGGATATGGTGGTTTACGACTTTCTCCATGATTCGGGATTCAATAATAGACAGTCCTGTTTCGACTCACCAGGGTTTCATCAGTGGTGTTAAGTTGAATCACGATGCATTGCTGTCCAGCAATGTAATCGTGGTCCAGTCGCATATCCGATGATATCTATGGCATCGGTGTCTGATGTTGGATTACGAATACTTCACTTCATGGGCTCTGATTTAATCTAGTTACTTTGCAGTGGAAGACAGAGGACGAATTTTGCTCGGCAGTCGATGTCGAAGCCCGGCGTTGCATTGAAGAGTATCGTTTATCTTAGAAATTTCTGGACTGAGTCCATCCCAAACATGAAGTTCGAAAGATTACATCGAATGATGAAATAGATGAAAACATAATTAGCATTTTGATATCTCGTCTAAAGAGAACCAGTTTCTCAGTTCGTCGATCATTCTGATTGTTGTAAATGAAGTTCTCACGTGGGATCTGTCATGAGTTGATTCAAATTGAAAAGGAAATATTTTCGAGAGAGATTAGTTTAAATGGAAACATATTTTTGGCTTTTTCTATCATTAAACATTAACTGTGGAAACTTTGGACCGAACAGCTAAATAAAAAACTATTGTACCGGGTCTGACAAATTTACTAGTTAATACCTTATAAAACCTCCCACATAAAAATAATGATTATGAAAAAAAAAACTACGACGCCCATGCCATACAAAGAAACTGCCGACGTTCGGTAACCAATTAGTTTTTAAGACATTCTTATTGACTTCGAATGTACTTCAACAACGCATTATAACCTGCAAACGCCTCTAAATGATAGGAGCAACGTTTGGAGGCTATAATAGGGTTTTTACTAATTGAAATAATGTGGTTAGCTACTTTCGGAGAGTGGGTCGTGGAAGAAATACTCTCATGTAATAGGAAGTGAAATTATTCGTTGTGCAAGTTGCAAGTAGACTCAACTACATATAGACTTAACATTGAATCATTCAATCCGCATGGGGAGAAGGACATGATCATTTGATACCCCTATGTATATAAACATCAGAGTTAACATATATATAAACTAGTAAGTGGTAAGTAAATATAATTTCAGAGTTGTGATATTTAGTTGGTTGTATTCTTTCTTCCAGAATCACTGGCAGATAAGGCTTCACAGCCAGAACGCAGCATTCAAATATAACCAATGAACAGGATAATTGACAAGCATCAAGAGGTGTGATATTAATATAAGTAAAGCAATAGAAATAATGGAAAGAGCTCGCCTGATCAAGGTGTTGCCAGCGTATATCTTTCTCCAATGGATATTCTCTTCGAAACTTTGTAGAGATCTGGTGTGTTCATAAATGATCTTGAGATTCTGTGGTAAGTGGTATAGTTGTAATCAATGATCTTCTGGTTGCCAAAGACTTATTGTAGTACCGTAACAAAGGTAACAATAAGCTAATCGTCAAGATGTAACCAGCGTACAACGAAGAGATAAAGCAAAAGGGCAAAAATAAAAAGGCCTGAAACAAAGTAAGGTTATACGAACAATTCTGTGCCAAGTTCCAGTTTTATTTGGGAGAGGTGCCTAATAAGATACCTCTCAATGGATAGTTGACAAGCTAGTGGAAGACGCACCTGTATATAGTGGATGGCCTGAAGTGAGGTCTAATGATTACGGCTTGATTAGGAAGATAGAAAAATTCAAATCCCAAAACACTGAAGTGGGTATTTCTCTTATATTCACCTCCTAATACGTATAAGGCAAATCCATCCAAGATGTGAGCACAATTCTCAAATTCAACTCTAGCCATGTACCGTAATGATAAAAAAAGAAAGGATATCCTCCTTTCGAAGGTATGCCAACTTGTTATCTAGTCAGTTTTATTTCGCAATCCCATGAAATGGGTTAATTATTGCGGTTATATGGTCATCATGGTTATTGTTGTCACAGACGGTCTATTCAGAGTAAAATCATCTTCAATGACGTCACAGGTGAACCCTTTTAATCAAACCTTTCAATGATATGAACTTAACAGAAGTGACACAGATTGCCAATATAACTCAACAGTGATGTGAATGTATATTTTGAAGAACTAAATATGAGAATGTTAGGTTATTTATTTCTCGTATTTGTATTCCACAGGAATCTCAGAGAACACTCGAAGCACCAATTACTACAAGGCAATTATAAACAAGAACTGATTGATGGTAAGTGATTGAATGATAACTAGATGCAATTGAATATACAGAGCGTATTATTTTCAGGTTACAAAAACTTAGAATTTAACGGATCTCATGGAAGCACTATTTCAAAAATGTCATAACAATAAATAAATAAACATCGAAGTTGTATATTTTTTTTTCTAGTTAATTTAACGAAAATCATAAAAAAAAGTAAATTAACACGTAACAA